CTTGCTTCCCCCATAGTAGCCCTCCCCACAATCTGTGTTAGTAAATCAATTATCTAGCAAGGAAGCATAAGGGAAAGAAAGCTTTCTCATCCCACGCTGCTACTGAAGGGGTGAGGGTATAAGTTAAGGGTTCTCCTTTAGTCCTGGTTGAAGCAACAGTAGCAGTAGATTAGTGACCAGAACGGGAAAGAATCTCTTTGTGTTCTCTTGCAAAAGGCTGGTCACATCCTCTAGTAAACTCAGGCTTTTTGGCTGAGCATGTCAGGAACTTCTTTCCTGCTATCCATACCAAGAGTGCAAAAGGCTTCATACAAGAATCATAGTCAATGACTCTTGCTCATCTACAGGCATTCTCAAAGCTGGGAAATCCTGTCCATTTTTGGACTACAACTCTCTGCGGGAGTCTGGGAGTTGTGGCTGAAAAAAGTAAGGCTCTAAGGCTTCTGTCATGGACGTGGATGCCTGCCACAACTGGCAGCTTATTGCAGATGGATGGCAAGGAGGAATGGTTTGTAAACCCATGACCTACATCCTGTTCTACCACTGCTGTTCCATATTTTCCCCGGGAACTTCTGTTGCAGAGTTTTGAATTTCTACTAAAATTGCAGTAGAAGTACACAGACTCACAAAGGAGAATAGCTACAAATTCCCCAGATAGTCCACTCCTTTCTCATTAACTGGCATTTAGAGTCTCAATACCTTGCTATGGGATATTTGTAGTAGAAAAAAAGTTTTTTTAAAAAAAATTACTTACAGTAGCAAAAAGATGAACAGCAAACAGACAACAAACTTCCAACAGAGGGAAAGGATACAGAGCAGAGAGGCGGGGCTCTCTTTGAATTCAGAGGCTGGAAGGAACGATTGGTCAGTGCCAGATAAATCACACCACTCTCCCAGTCAAATGAACTGCAGGCAGCATGCGAGGTTGTAAAAACTCCAAGAATTTCCTGTTAGGAAAAAGGGATTAGGGGTTTACTTGTGCCAGCCATTCCAGCTGAAAAACCAGAAGTCATAACACACTTGACTCACATGCGAAGAACATGCAGAAATACGGGTGATGTACTGTGGGGTAATGAGGAAGGAATGAGAAAAGCTTGAGAACTGTATTTCTACATTGTTAGAAAAAAAACTCTTCTTAAAAAGTAAAACTTCTGTTTGTGTCATATGTCTACCACCGGCAAATTTCTCCTCTATGTTTCCTTCTCAAGCTACAGTAACTGTTGAGTAGCATAGAGTTTATTAAAATAAATAAAAAGTATCCATCCCTCCATCCCTCCCTCCCTCCCTCCCTCCGTCCGTCCATCCGTCCGTCCGTCCGTCCGTC